TGGATCGATCCTAGGGTTAATTAGGAGGTGATTGAGCTCAATTGGCCAGGATTTGAGCCAATAGATCATTTAGAATGATTTAAATACAATAAATAGGTTTTACTTGAATTAAATGAGTCCAATTTGACCCAATAAGACTTGGGTTGACCAAGTCAAAGCTTGACTTGGTTAATTGAGTCAAAGGGGTAAGGGGTTGAGCCTAAGGTGACTTGAAATGGGTTTAAATTAGAATTATGCTCATTTAGGATTAATTAGGTCAACTTTGGTTGACCTGGTCAACTAAGTTAACACAGGGCATGGGTCTGAGCTCAACACACTTTATCTGACCCATAAAACCCAATGGAGGTGGGAAATTGAGCCAAGAAAGCTTTAAATGGATTTGAAATTATAAAAAGGAATTTGGCTCAATTTGGTTAATCTGAGTTGACCTGGTCAACCAGGTTAACCTAGAGCCTAGGTTTGGGCTCCACAGACTAGGCTTGACTCACTAAACTCAAGAGAAGTGTTCTTATGGTCTGGCTTGGTCAATTTGACCAAGTTAACCCCCTTGACCTAGGGTTTGTGGAAATTAATATCAACAATAGTATGCCCTGTTAGGACTCTAGCGACACACCAACACTATTAATTGAGTGGAGGCTTAATGATGATCAAATTATAACTTTTCTTTGAAGAGGAAATTATAAGAAATACATTAATGTACAGTAGAGAAGATGTCACTTGAATCCACTAATGATATTTGACCATTTTGAATTTTAGAATCGAGCAATGATGTATGAACTATCCGATGTTGTATGTTAGATTACTGCTCGATGATGTTAACTTATATGAAAGAGGTTGAGAGAATCTATCAATGATGTATGACATATCTGAGGTTGTATGTTAGAACACTGTTCGATGATGCTAACCTGCATGGAACAGGTCAAGAAAATTCACCAAAGATATATGATATATCTAAGGTTATATGTCAGAGCACTGCTCGATGAAGTTAACCTATATGAAAGAGGTCAAAAGAATCCACCAATGATGTATGACCAATTTGAAGTTATATATCATAGCACTGGTCAATAATGTTAACCTATATGAAAGAGGTCGAGAGAATCCATGAATGATGTATGACCTATCTGAGGTTGTATGTCATAACACTGCTCGATGATGTTAACTTGTATGGAAGAGGTTGAGAGAATCTACCAAGAATGTATGACTTATTCGAGGTTGTGTGTTAGAGCACTACTCGATGACATTAACTTATGTGGAAGAGGTCGAGAGAATTCACCATGGATGTATGACCTATCCGAGGTTATATGTTAGAGCACTGTTATATGACATTAATATGTATGAAAGAGGTCAAGAGAATCCACCAAGGATGTATGACCTATCCGAGGTTGTATGTCAGAGCACTACTCGATGATGTTAACTTGTATATAAGAGGTCGAATTAACTGCCCCTAGGATCAATTTTGCCTTTATTGGGAGGGGGCCAACATCACGTGTATCCTGAATAGAAGAAGAATGGTCCATCTTAAGACCGTTACTGCCTTTTTGAGGTCGATATTAAGACATTGCCCAAGGAGTAGAAGTCTAGTTAAGGACTTATGATTTATTGGAAGTATCCTTGCATTCGCTTGGAGTTTCCTCAAAATAGTTTCCCTAGATATCTTTTTGGATGTTGGAAGTATTGAAGGAATCTTCTTAACTACTATTGTTGTTAAAGTTGCCTCCCAAGTCCAATTTTAATTTATATAAAATTAATGCAACAATAGCTGATGCTAAGACATTGACATGAATAACCTTTTGAGGTTGGAGCAAAAATTACCCCATAGTAGGGAATTATGTTCTCACAGACGACGCCAAACTGTTATTTCCCGGAATATTCGAGGCGGTAATGAAATATAAAGTTTAATGTCTTAGCTTTGTACAAAGATCCAGCACACAAGTAGATAAAAGAGAGAGTGTAGCGTTCATGAGAGACACCAAAGTTTTTACTTGGAAACTCCTAAAAATGGAGAAAAATCATGGTGCCTGACCCAACTTGAATGAATACACTATTATTTGCAATCGATTACAAATGAAGCCCTTCCTTGGGGGGAAGGCCTTAGGTTGATGTAGCAAATGTGCATCATATTACATGGTGGGAATATGAAGAATTAGTATTGAAATGTTCATTTAGTTGACAGAACCATAATCATCGGGCGACGGAGGTCAAAAAGATAATAGTCTGGTGATAATGGTCGGAAGGACCATAATCGACAGGAGATATAGGTCAGAAAGACCGTTATCTGATGATGGAGGTTAGAAGGACCGTAATAGACGACGATGGTCATAAGGATCGTAGTAGGCATGAGACAGGGGTAAGAATGATTGTTGTCTAGCGATGGAGATCAAAAGGACCGTAGTAGGTGACGGAGGTCAGAATGACCAAAGTTGGCAGGAGACAGGGGTTAAGAAGATTATTGTATGATGATGGAGCTCGAAAGGATCATAGTAGGTGATGGAGGTTAGAAGGACCATAGTCGGCATGAGACAATGGTCATAAATGTCATAGTCGTAAGACAGTGGTACGATGGAAGTTCTCGTATTATTCGATGGTCTGGCAGAACTCCAACTTTTGTCGGTGGTCCGATGAAAGTTTAGGCCTTAATCAGTGGTCCGACAGTGGTTTGACAGAACTCCGACCTCAGACAGTGGTCCGGTATAACTCCAGCCTCATGCAGTAGTCCGACAGAACTCTGGTGTTGGGCAGTGGTCCAACGGAAGTCCGGTGAAAGGCGGTCGTTCGATGAAACTCCGACGTCGGGTGGTGGTCTGGCAGAACTCCGACGTCGGTTGGTGGTTAGGCAGAACTCTGGCGTCAGGTGGTGGTCTGACTGAACTCCAACGTCAGGTGGTGGTCCGACGAAAGTCCGGCTTCATACGGTGGTTATAATGGAAGTCCAATATTAGGTGGTGGTCCAGCAGAACTACTGTTTCAGGTGGTGGTCTGGAAGAACTCTGATGTCGTTCAGTGGTCCGGTAGAACTCTGTCGTCGCATGGTGGTTCGGTAGAACTTCGGGTGATGGTCGAGGAGCGAGGATGCAAGAGCGATCTCTTATCTCTCTCTTGATTCCTTTCTTGGGGTCCCCCTTTTATGAGAAAGGGGACTCTATTTATAGATTTTTTAGAGTGACATGACTTGTAAATAGATAGAAGATCATGGGTAATTTGGAGTGATTTAGATGGACGTCCGATGTTGATTCCCTTGAGCATAGACCATTTATTGGACATTTGAATGCCTTGGTGATTTCAGAATTTAGTGATCTATGGCTTGTTGGATTCGTCTCGTCGAGAGTCGCTCAATTCGACAATAAGCATGCCACGTTTGGAAACCGTTTGGTAATCCCAATTGTGGTTTGAACCTTCCAACAGCGCTTTGAATCCTTGATTTGAACACATTTGGGCTCGAATTAAGTCGATTTTGGTGTCGTTGGGTTCGTAATTCCGAGACGCTCAGTTTGGCCTTAAGTTTGCTGAAATCAAAGTTCATATGGTACCAATTTTAATTTTAGAAGTTTCCAACTTGATTTTGCCTCGAGATTCATGCCCGATCAAGATGATTTTTTTATGATGGATCGAGATTCATATTATTTCTAGAGTTGTGGATGTTCAAGTTATCAAATAAATACATAGATTCAAGTTCATCTGATTAGCCTTTACGGTATGCAAGTCAAGCTTGATTATCAATATATTCTAGGAAATAGATGCTCGCATTCTCCACATACACTAATTGAGGGAGCTAATCTAATATAATAAAATTTTGTATAATGGAGAGATTATTATGTGCAAAGTCTGAATTGAAGCGTCTGATTTTTGTGAGTGTGCATAGTAAAAGCACAATAATGAACAACAATTACGCTTTTACTACATGCACATAAAAATCGAACAATTTTATGGCTTCAACTCCACATGTAACAATCTCTTATGTAGAATGAATGCCTCAAATTTATTTCAAATCCAATAAAATTTTGGCTGAAAAGTAGACTTTTTTATCGACAATGCGGCCGCCAAATTCATTGGTGGATAATCGGTGGAAAAAGTCACTGGAATTTTCAACACTTGATCCACTAGTAAGCAACGGGAAATTATGGCGCCCGTAGACTCCAATAATGTTTCATATGGTTATCTGGTACTTTTTTAAAAAGTAGTTTTAAGAAACATCTATTTAAAAAGAGGAGTTTTCTAACGGAGAAATATATATAAAAAACTTTATGAAAATAGCAAAAGAATGAAAAAAATGTTGTTATTGAAAACGCGATTTGAAAAACCAAACAATAAAGAAGAAATAAATTTACAGTTTATAAATGAAAAAACACAAAAAAAAAGATCCACTCAAACTAGGCCTAAGTCTTCAAAGTTCTTGTGATTTGTAAAATCAGTAATAAATATTGATGGCCCCTTTTCACGGATAAGTTATTGAAATTTTGTTTATCATAATTTCCTAAGAAAAAATTGCTAGAAACCGGCACATAAAAGAGAAAGACATGTTCTCATGTGATTATCCATCAAAAAAAATAAAATAAAATAAAATAATGCACACGGCTTTTTATGCTTAGGAACAAGAGAAATTATTACATGCGTAGTCCAAACATAATTCTACGTCCGGATGGTGAGTGTATATAGTGGATACATACTGTGTACAAAAATATATAGTATGCTTTTGTAAACAATGTGTACAAATTATGTACACTTACATGTCCAAACGTAACTCTATGTCTGAAATCCGTACGTAATAATTTCTCTAGAAACAGGCCATCCAAGACATCACAACATAATATTGGTATAAAATGAGTCGTCATAATCACATAAATTTCCTGCAGTAAAATATGCAAATAGTTACAACATTTAAATATCATCACAATCTTATATACTTACATATATTCTCAGACTTTACAGAAGAAGAAAAAAAAAAAAATCCTGCTAGCATTCACATTACTGAGTTGGAGTTTGCAATGGAAGCTGCAACCATATGATTCAAGCTTAACCAACAAAATCAATAAAACCACAAAGTAGAAATTACATGTAAAGTCATAATCAGCAAATCAGATGTTTATAAATCTAAAACCTGAAAAGTCTAAATGACACATCATTTCCATCATATGTTCTTCAAAGAGAAAGAGTAGACAGTACTATCTACAGGATAGTAGTTTGAACTGTAAGCAAAACAGCCTATTCTGACCTGTGCAACAACAAATACAAGAAGATCCAAACCTAATCTGAAGCTCAATAAGCAATTAACTCGAGAGAACGAAAAAGGGGCGCGGCGCAGGTGTGACGAAAAAGGGTACAGGTAAATTTCAATAATTATTTTATACAAGGATTTGACTGATTGACACTTAAGGAAAATGCGGAAGATATGTAAATTGATGCTGCGGGGGTCGAAAGATTATTACGTGCAGCGTTCAGATTCATCCGGAGGAGAATCCGGAAGCGCCACGTCACCCGGGGACCGGTGCATCTGGGTGACGTGGAGCTTTTGGATTCGCCTCCGGACGGTTCGGACGCCGCACGTAATAATCTCTCGCGGGGGTCAAATATCAAATCCCGGCATGGCAAACTGCATGGCAAAAGCTTCTACTTGGTTGCGCAACTCCATGACATCCCTGTTGTTCTGCAGACCCTTCAAAAACTCATTTTGCAATTTACCGAGTTCCCTTTGTAGATTGCTTGCGATATAAGCAGCCCTAACAAGAAAATCAGAAATAAGCTCAAAGTCTTCCTCCAAGCAACCTCTTGTTGTCATTGCAGGAGAACCTGAAGTTAGAGGCATCAGAAAGTCAGATTTGGAAAAAAATATTTGGATTACTACACAAATCAAGAAAGAACATTGCAGAAAGTAATACCTATCCTGACTCCTGCAGAACAGATGGCACCATTATCGCCAAAAATTGGAGTTTTGTTCAGGCTGATATGGCAAGCCTCACATACTTTTTCGAAAGTTTTGCCTGCACAATATCAAACTTTGAGTCGAGAAATGCCGCAGGTTTTAATAACACTGCTTCAAGTAGCTTAAGAATTCATTCAGTTATGATCAAAGCAAAAAAAAAAAAGCAGAAAAAACTAATAAATAAGCATACAGAGGAGATAGGGGGACTAACGAATTAAAGCAAGCTTTGAGTTTTTTTTTTTTGTAGAGAATCAAAATTCATTAAAAAGGAAAAGCTTAAAATGCATATAGCTTAGGATTTTCTTGCATTTTTAGGAGTTTAATACCGCTTACTAAAGCTTAGAAGAACAATTTTCTTCGAGGTTTTATAGATATTCTCATTAGTTATTACAAAATCTTCCTGGTTATTATCAGTAAACCAATACTGAGAATACACAGAACATAAAACACCCAATTCATTCTAGTAATTCAAGCGATCATTTCTTCAATCTGTTTAAAATAAAGCATTTGAGATAGTTAGGTATCATAATTTTTTTGTTTCTAGGAAAAATGGACCATAATTTCAAAGATGCGAAGATAATATGAACAGCATGTACAACAATAATTTTTCCAACCGTGATTTACCCATTAAAGCACAGATATCATTTGACAACTTTGTACTTCACTTGCAGCCATGAACATAACGATTCAAAACCCAAAATAATATAGGATGGATAGTGAAGAATTATCCGCTTATTTTACATCCATAACTATTTTTATGCTCCTTTCATCCTAATATTTCTAAAAAAATACCATCCCTCAATTATAGATTGATGTGTAGCGTGAAAGGGGAAGCATGTTTCCTTTATAGAAACACTTTTTGATTTACTGGAATGTAGAAATGAGGCAACTTTTCACCTATAAAAATCCATTCTTGGGTTCGGGTGCTTTGCAACCAAAATTGTGTTTTCCAGTACAACGCCCCGGCTCTGCGTACTTAAGTGCCCCGGCACTATGTTCCTGAACGCCCCGATGCTGAACGACAGAGCAGAGCACCGCAGCGGTCGAGATATGACAACGCAGTTGGTGAAGTTAGAGCATGAGCCGCAACGCTGAATGTTTGAGCGCTACAACATTGAAAAATAGAGAGTGGTAGAGCTACAAGACGGACTGAACATTTATTTTTCTCATTTTTCTCAAGGGTTGCATCCCTTGGATGTTATAAATGTGAGAAGAGAAGCAAGAACAGAGTGGGAGTGGGAGAGAAGAGATATATGTACTTATATATGTTCTCATTTTTCTCAAGGGTTGCGTCCCTTGGATGTTATAAATGTGAGAAGAGAAGCAAGAACAGAGTGGGAGTGGGAGAGAAGAGATATATGTACTTATTTCCCCCAATTTTCATAGCGGATTTTTTGTTATTGTGTGGTTCCATGGTTTTTTTCCTAGTTTGAGTTTTTTCACATTAAATCCTGATATCTTTTACTTTTCCGCAGCTTTTATTTTCTTGCTTGTTTTGTTATTGTTGTGTTTACTCAATCTCCATCATCCCCAACACATTCAACAGTATGTATTGTTTGCAGAATGCAAACAATCTTTTGCTTATCAGAGATACAAGCCCTCCGTAAAAAAAATTTCCAACAATTGAGCCACAACGATTTATATCCATATACCTATTAATTCTATTCCCGTTAAACTGAGTCAACGGCCCCATAGGTGAACGTCATTATCTAAAAAATCATGGATGCACCTTTTCTATCATTTTACACTTTTGGGCGTAGTTTTATACCAAATGGTGCAATACAGAAAGATGCCATGGTGGGTAAGCAAAATAAAAAAAAATGTTTTTGAGTTTAGAAACAACAGACATCTGCAAGGCTGACAAAACTATAATGTGGGCACAGGTTTCCACCCTGACACCTTGCAACCCACGCAGCCAACCAAGCTCTTCAAAAAATAAGAATTGCAATCAGAGCTCGTTTGCTTGGTTTAATTTCAAATTTTAAGAGCAGAAAGTTCTTGTTGCCACAACAGGTTTGTCTTGCTCAGTAAAAACAAACTTGAGCTGCTTTGAAGTTTCATCAAACATGGTCAAAGATTGTCGAGGCTGGGTGGCATTTCACCAAAACCTTGTTCAGCTCTCGATGAGGCTCCATTAGATCCTCTAAGCCTAACTGAAGGTTAACTTGGCATCATCAGAGCTCATTGATGGCCAATTAATGTCTGCCAATGTTTTGCCAGTATAAGAAGCATAAGCATTAGTAACGTAAGGAGGCTGGGTGGTAATTTTATACAGGTCAAAATTCATGCTATTTGTAATTTCATCTTGACAAGTAAACAACTAAGCAATGAATTAGGATTTCAATCAAACATCTTTTCAATTATTCTATAATAGCAAATGAAACGCCTATATAATCTCTTAGAAGCACTTCCAACCATTTTAAAAGTAATTGATTTGACAATTAGAGATAGTACACATCCATATATCCAAACCTCATCTCCCTAAGAAAAAAAGCGATAAAATGCCTCATTTTCTTCATTGTGAGTTCTATTGCAGCAGGAAAGTATATCAAATATCTCTACAAATGTACATATAAAAATACAGTTCATGCTGAGGTCATTCTCCAATACCCAATTACTAGCATTTTAGTCTTACATGTCCTATAAAGGTTATCGTGTTTTTCATAAAATAGAACAATATAGTACATGACATGCATTTCCTACATTTATGGTGACAGTTTAAACATAACTGCTAAAAATACAATCAGCACCTTTAAAAGTAACATTGAAATAGAGTTAAAAGACTGAATTAGAAAAAAAAGGTGAAAATAAAGGAAAACAAGGTGATCACAACTTCTTTTCTTTTGCAAGAGTTTGAACCATGGATCTCTACTTTAGAGATCAAAATCAATATAAACTCATAATTGGGAGTGCTTTAACCAACTTGGTAAGCATGGACAGAAAATAAAAAATAAAGTATTCTACGAAGCTAATAAGAGTGCTTTAGGCATCCAAGCTGGTAATATAGACCTTCAAGATCGAGAGTATGGACATCAGCAAGCCTATGTGAAATGATTGAATTCCTTCCAAAGGTTTTGAGACTGATTGATTTGTTGTCCCATTGAAATACTACTCTTATACAAAATAAAAATCAAAGCAAGCGTCTACACACTAGGCAGATTATGACTTACAGTAGAAATGAAAACTTATAGAGTAACAATATAGCTAATGTTGTTTTCAACAACTACGAAGCAAGTGAATAAGAATTCAAATTAAAAACCTGCAGTTTGGGAAAAAGCCATATTCTAGGACGTAGACTTCAGTTTTGGTGTTCCATTAAAATGTACTGAATGGTAGCAATGGCCTATACCTTTTGCTTTCCTAATCAGAAGATAGGTAGAATGAGAGAAAACATAGAGTGACTGGTTGCAGAGCCATGCAAGTTTATGGCAGACACTTCACAGAACTTCAGGACAATATCTCCCCGTACTGGTTTCCCAAAAATCAATCTACATGTCATAACCCCCACTTCTCTCCCTCCCAGTGAAACCTAATTTTTGTATTCCCTCTTGCATGAGGCTTATCCATGCGATTGGGTCCCTTAAATACATCAAATGCTTCTCAAAATTCCATCATATATATCTTTAATAACATCAACCTTTGACACAACCTTTTCCATAATACATATCAAACTAATTCTCTTTAATCAAATGCTTCGAACATCAATAAAAATCACAAGAAAAAAGTTTTTTTTACTCTACATCTTTTTCATTAATTATCTTAGCACAAAAACCGCCTCCGTAGTAGATATACCCGATATAAAATAAATTTAATTTTCCAAAGTCGCTGTCAGATTCCTAAACCAAAGTTACATTCATTACTCTCCAAAATATCATTGTATGACTTCTAAGTTTGGTTCACCAATATTTACTAGAATCCTTACCAATTAGGAATCATAAAAATGATTCCAAAGTAATTGGGTCAAAGCTAATCATGATCATGATGAGAGGAAAAAAGTGCATCAATAAGGAGGAATATAGGCTCAGTTGTTGTCTACATAAAATAGAGAGAAATTTTTTTCAAAAAGTTAAATCGAACAATGTATAAGGAATGAAAAGGGGAGGTGGCAAACCAACGTCATGACTAGAAGTTGGGCAGAATAACTAGATAAACTAAAGCCAACAGCAACATGATACACTTCAAAGGAATTACGGTTGAAGAAAAATTCAAAAGCTAAGATAAATAGCCAATAATAATGACGCTGATGATGCAGATGTGTTATCTATTATTTCAAATTCTTAACATGAACTTTAATCTTTGTATTTCTTAATTAAAAAAAACTACATAATTTCTTCACATGGTTTTTAGAATTGGTATTCAACAACACTCTACAAATTTAAGACTTGATCATAAATTGCAGCTAAGTTTCCGAAAAAGAAAAAGGTCACCCCTCATAGTTCCAAGCCGCCAAACAAACTGATTAGAGATTTAGAGCAATTAAATTGAGATCTGATTTCTCCTTGTACTTAACAATTCCAATTCGAATAAGATAAGCGCATAATATGCTAGCTTTCTGAAAAAAAATTGATGCCTTAACTCAAATTCTTTTGCTTTAGTTTTGCCAAAAATAATCCCAGTAATACCTTGAAATCAACATAATTTCAAGTAACTAATTATGCTGGTTAGATCATACCCTGGCCAAAAATCTCAAGCTTGGTTTTGACAATACTAGATCAGGCAAGCAACAACCACTCCAGTCTGAATGTTTTTATCACGCCAAGTATATGCAAATTAATTCACACGCATTGAAAATGCAAAATTACTTAGGAAAGGTTTGCATCAAACCAACTTTTCCCGATAAACCTACTAAACTTAATATTTTCCTTTAATCTTTTCTATTTTCAACTATATTAGGATTAATTAAGAAATATATAATGAAAATGTAAACAGGCTGGATGCAATTAGGAAGAATTAAGAAAACAATCAAAACATGCCATAATGTACAAGTACTGAAAGAAACACTAAGGCTAGGAGCTAGAATTAATGAAAAAGCCTACTAAGCATAAGCATTAAAATAAATAAAATATTGCTCGAAATTCAGAAAGTTATAACTGAAAGCTATATTGGACCTTTGATGCAGGCAAAATAGGAATTGCAGGAAAAGAAAGATGCAGCAAGTTGAGGACGGCATTGAGGATGGGGATAATATTGTTGCTGCTGGTGATGATTAACAATACTTTTTAGAAATTGATAGATCTCTAATCCAACTGATTAGATTCAATGGAACATATGTTAATTAATATATACACTACTAATTAATCATACAAAGTTATGCTTACCACTCACATAGTGAGGTATATGGATAAAATATAATAGATAAATGACAAACAAAAGGCACCATGTTGGCTAGACTACTAAGAAAGATAGCTTATACCTCTAATGCACACGATAGCATCAGGCCATTTTCCGAGAACCATTTTATGACGCAATTCAGGGAGATTTAGAAACTTGATCTTCCATATCAAGAGAGGGAGTTCATAAATCTTCATAAAAAAAATAATTTGGGTAGGAATATCCCAAAAAATTAACAGATACAAATTTACATAAAAGAACATGACAACTGTCCGAAACCTGTACACTATATATTTGGGAGAGCGAAGCCAGAAAAGGGTATAGGCAAGCCTTAAACATATGTAAAAAAGTTTAGCATTTGGAAAATGAATCCACAACACATCTGTGTAAATACTCTGTATAATTATATCATTCTTCTTAATTCTATGTAAAAAAAAAAAAAAAAAAAAAACAATCAAATTTCATGTATCAAGAAGTCTGGGAAGATAGTTTCACACAAAAACTGATATCAAAATAACAGCTAAAATCATTTAAAGAAAGATAAGAATTTGAAGAAATTTAGATGATAACTACCTGCCAACCCAAAGGTTCTTAGATCCCAAAGTAACATATGGTTATCAGTGCCCCCAGTGACCAATCTGCATTTTCGTCTCAGCAAAGCAGCTGCTAATGCCTGTATATTTTTCTTGACTTGCTGGATATATGCTTTATATTCAGGAGTAGCCACCTGCTTCAGAGCGATAGCCAAAGCAGCAATATGGTTATTATGAGGCCCTCCTTGCATTGATGGGAAAACAGCAAAGTTTATTTTATCCTCAAAATCATATTGATCCACTTCATCTGCTTGGCATGGAGGTAATCCACGTTTCCTAGGCTTTTTCCCTTTCCTAATAAATATCATACCTCCTCTTGGTCCACGGAGGCTTTTGTGTGTCGTTGAAGTAACAATATCACAATAATCAAATGGACTTAGACATTCCTACAAAACAACAAAAGTATTATATGCATCATCATGTCAGTTTCTACAATCATTTTGAAAGCGATAACTATAAACAATGTGAAAGAACCAAATTAATTTATACTAAACCTTATCATTGCAATCTCCAATATGTAACAAAATAAAAACATTTCATAAGTTGGGCACAAGAAAACATCTCTAGTTGATATAAAAGATAATTCATCAAGTTCGACAATAAAACACCAAAAAGATAATAATTCAAGGACATCGCATAAAATCAACACAACTAAAGGAGGCAAAAATATGCAGACAAAAGTTAAATTGTAAGAAAATTTTATGAACAAAGGCACATAGGTTGATAGTTGTCAACAACTTTATAAATAGTATTGCACTATACACCGTTCAAGCCTATAACTTCCTTCTTAAGACAAATAACACATTTTTATAAGCATCATAGTTTCCCTTCAAAAAAATTAGCTTACAGATATGCCAATGGAATTAATATAAACTTTAATAAGAGAAATGGAATCAATCCACAGGACTGATTGCTCCTGGTTCCAAAAGAAAACAAATGAAAGATTTAAAACTACTTCCTAAAGAAACAAGAGTGAAGGCTACCAATTTGTTGCTACAAAAAACGTGATTAGCAGTCACATGACTCCTATCCTTCTATAAAGCTAAGTAATAAAGCATTGTAAACTCCATCTGCCAAATTAAAAGTAAGATTAATGGGCCTAGCTAATCCAATTAGCATGTAAGAAAGTGTTTCCCTTGGCACTTGTATTACATGTATTTCAAATAAACATTTAAAACCATCAAATAAAACTCCAAAGAATATGCTAAACTCTTTTTTTTAACTGAATTATCTAAAAAAAGCCATAGGAAATCGGTTCTATTTGTGACTGCGCTACATTCTAATAACTAATAAATTACATATGGGTCGTAATTGGATTTTAAATTTTAATAATAATGTTTAACAGATAAGAGTGACAAAAAATACAGCCATTGACTCAAAAATGGATTGTTACAGCACCATGTAAAGTTCTGCCGCCTAACCTAATCACATATCAGCATTTAATTACATGTAATTATCTTCTCAAGAGATAGCATATCTAGGTCTAGTCTTTTAAATTCTTTCAAATAAGCCATATTCTAACCAACAAAACATGCAATTTCTTTTTGTGAACAATCCAATGACAATCATTGACATCAAAAATAATTTCAAGAACTGGTCATCAAGATTATTCTCTATATAAGCCAGATTCTCTCTTTGCTTTTGCAATGATATTAGCTTACGGGTATTGTGAAACCTCCCAAAAGGAAAACTGGAGGCATTTGTAGGGAAGAAATGTTTTTATTTTAATTCATGCTTCACATGCAAAGGTTATTAATACTTGACATAACTTAGAAATTCAGATGATAACCAACTATGAATATATGGGAAAACATAAATTTAGGAAGTGAAAAACCAAATGGGGCCAAAGTTGAGCCTCATGCATCAATGGTCAACCCATATTCAACTTAGAAGCTTAAGCTTATAGGCTAGTCCAAACCGTTTGGCATTTCTATATCAACATATTTTTTTAATTATTCTATATAGAACTAAACAAATGCTCTCATGTGCCTTAATAATCTCCCACACACATAAGAGCTGTCAAATTGACCATCCATTCTACTCAAACGAAATCTTCTTGAATAGCATCACCAAAATCACACTCAACTATGTCGAGGCATTATGCAAGTCACCTTCTTTTGAAGGTTATTCACCATGGTGGAAAAGTTACCCATGGGAACCACAATTTGCATGAAACACCTAATCTAAGCCAAACCATCAACTCCAATACCACTTGATAGAGAATGACAAACAAAAAGAGGGCCAAGCTTAGGTCTAATATGCAAATGATTAAACTTATATTCAACATAGAATCTTAAGTCTCTAGTTGAGTGCTAACTAGTTAGCATTTCAATGCCAACCTATATTAAAACTATCTAACGTCGAACTAAATCTCACATAATTTAACAATAAATTCAACTACAAATAGTTGATGCTCAACTATGACTTGTTACAGTTTTAAGCTTTGTAAATACAGTTGAATAACTAAATCTAAGCCACTCATTGTTCAGCATAGAAGTTCTTTATAGACTCTTTCCATTTGAAGAAAAAAAAAAACACTGCAGAGTTGGATCGGTTATAAAATAATTTCCTAAAGACCCCCCCCAAAAAAAAGAAACTGTGTAGCAAGCAGATCATAACATCATGGCAGCAAATATTTGAATACAAGGAAGTTGACAACTCCATCCAGCTAGAACAGATAAAAAATTAACATATTATTTCAGGAGAAGAAACCAAACCTTGGCTGCCACAAGACCACTAATTTGGGCCATGTCACACATCAGTACAGCGCCACATTTATCAGCAATCTGCCTAAACTTGGCATAGTCCCACTCCCTTGGGTATGAGCTACCCCCACAAATCAGTATCTTTGGATGAAAATCCATTGCCCTCTCCTCAACCTTATCATAATCAATATACCCTGTTTGTGGATTAACCTTATAAGACAGGCTTTCGAAGAATATTGAAGCCCCTGATATCCTCTTACCACCTGGTGTCAAATATCCATGGCTCACATGCCCGCCTGACAGAGAATCCAACCCCATGATCCTATCCTTCGGCTGCAAAAGCCCTGTATAAACAGCAAAATTCGCAGATGTACAAGAATAAGGCTGAACATTAACGCTCCAACAATCGGGATCAAGACCAAACGCAACCAGTGCTCGTTCACAGCAAAGACGCTCAATCTGATCAATGTATTGATTGCCACCGTAGTACCTAGCCCCAGGCATACCCTCCGAGTACTTGTTCGTCAGATGGCTCCCTAGGGCATCAAGGACGGCCTGGCAAACAAAATTCTCCGAGGCAATGAGCTCGATCCCCTTGATCTGTCTCTGTCTCTCCTTCTCCATAATCTCATGCACATCTGGATCGGCCACTGACAAGGTCTGGTTCCCCCAAGAACGGACCACAGCCCTACGCGTATCGAGATCCGGCTCCACCAAAGCTCTCTTTGAAGGATGCAAAGAGGAAGAAGACGAGCATGAAGACAAGGATTCACCTCTTCGTTGCCGCTTAAGGCTCATCGGATATCCAAGGATACTGAATTCCTCCTCCCTCTGCCCGTCCACGGAATCTTCGCCGTCCTCGATCCCGACGGAGCCGCTCCACCGATTCTCCGATTGCTGGTCAAGCAGCTGCAGCGGGATCGGTCGCAGGCTCGCGTCAGTTTGAAGAGAGGAGACGTCGTCGGCAATCGGGGAGCGGTGCGCATGGAACCCAAGGGAGACGTCGTCGGCAATCGGTGAGCGGTGCGCATGGAACCCAAGCGAGAGGTTAGATTGAGATTGGGAGAGATCCATACCACGAGAAGTTGGAAAGAATAAACTCAGCCCTAAAGCTACAAGCTAGGAGCAGCAGCGACAGCGACAAAAACAGCGGAAGCAACGGAAGCAGCGGAATCGGAGGAATGTAGTGGGGAGGAAGAGCGTGTGGCGAGACGCCTCCATGAACGGTTAGGGTAGCAGATAGAATGTCTACGAGAATTCCACTGCTCGTCGCCGAGAAGGCAAGCCTTTATTAATGACAGCGAGGATGCACCTAGACGGAATTCGGGGACCGGGTGCGAAGGCCTAGACCGGATTCATTTTACGCATAGACAGGTACGATTCCGACTGGTAACGGGTTAGTCCGAACAAGGCATCATAGACCGTCCGAGTTCATCCTTCGTCGGACTGCTTGCATGCGTGCGTGTGGACAGTCAATGTGAAAATAATGCAAAGCTATTTTCTCATTTTTGTATTGTTTTCTTTGTAGCTGCACCTCAGAATTTCGTGATTATAAGCTTGTCTAATTGTTTATTTAGATAACTGAAGATTAATTTGGCTTTGTTTTTTGGGATATTTAGGTTAATTAAGATAAATTCATACACACAATACATACACAAGACTCGAACCCAAAACTTCTTTGTTGGTATCCTAAGCTCTCAACCAATAGACAAAGATGAGTTGTGTGTGGAGTTTTCCTTTTGATGAGCTCTCTCTATGTTAGGGTTAACAAATATAACTTAGTTTAGCATTGGTGTCTATCTAATTTTTGGTTCTATGCACTGCTCAACTCTTCTCTCGACAGTCATATCATTTATATTTGCCTTCTAACTTCGGTTGGATGATATCTATCTTTCCTCATGGAAATCTCTTTATTTGATATATTATCAAAAATCATATTGATCGGGCACGAATCTCGAAGCAAAATCAAGTTGGAAATTTCAAAAATTAAATTGGAGACCATATGAACTCCAATTTTAGCAAACTTATAGTCGAATTGAACGTCTCGAAAATAGGAACCCAACGACACCAAATTCGACTCAATCCGAGCCCAAATAGGTCCATATCAAAGACCCAAAGCGTATTTGGATGGTTCAAATCATAATTTGGATTACCAAACGGTTTCCGAACATGACATGCTTATAGTCGAATGGAGAGGCTTGACGACACGAATCCAACGAGCCCAAGATCATCAAATTCTGATATCATTAAGACATTCAAATGTCCAATAAATGGTCTATGATCAAGGGAATCAATACTTCTAATTTACCCTTGATCATCCTCTTATTTATTGGTCATGTCACACAAAAAACTATAAATAGACCCCTCATTTCTCATGAAAAAGGGGAGGAGGAGGGGAAGCAAGAAGGGAAAGGAAAGAAAAGATGAGAGAAAGATAAATAAGATATTTCCCTTGCCACCAAGTTCCTCCTTGACCACCTCCCGATCATCAACGGACTTTCATCAAACTTTTACCCAACGGCAAACTTCCGCCCGTCGCCAGATTTCTACCCGGTTCCGAACTTTCGCCGGTCGTCGGACTTCTGTTCGTCGTTAAACTTTTATCGGACTACTACATGACGACGGACTTCTGCCCGTCCCCGTATTTCTACTCAACGCCGGACTTCCGCCCTTCGTTGGACTTCTGCCCGTCGTTGGACTTCTTTATGTCGCCAAACTTTTATCAGACTTCTACTTGAAGCTGAACTTCCGACCGTCACAAGATTTTTACCTAGCGCCGAACTTTCATCCGTAGTCGGACTTCTGCCCATTGCCATACTTTCGTCAGACTTCTACCCAACTCCAAACTTCCATTCGTCACCGAATTTCTATTCGACACCGGACTTACGCACGTCGTCGGACTTCTCCCCATCGCTGGACTTTCGTCAGACTTTTACCCAATGCTGGACTTCCATCGGATTTCTATCTAACGCCAGACTTCCGTCCATCATTGAACTTCTGCTAGATGCTGGAGTTCCGCCCACCACCGAACTTCCGACCTCCGTTGCTAGCTAACTACGATCCTTCCGACCTCCGTCGCTAAGCGACTACGATCCTTCTGACCTCCTTCACCATACATAAATCTTTTTGACTATTGTCGCTTGCAGACTACTGTTTTTCAACCTACGTTGCCCGTCGATTATGGTTCTACCGACCAAACAAATATATTAATAGTGATTCTTTCAAGTCTCATCATGTAATAAACTTTATATGATGCATATTTACCACATCAAGCCAAGGCCTTCCCCCAATAAAGGGTCTCATTTGTAATTGAATGCAAATAATAGTTGATTCATTCAAACTGTTGTGGTTTTTCTCATTTTAAGGATTTTCCATGGAAAAAATCTTTGGTGTCTCTCATAAATGTTGCACCCTCTCCTTTATCTATATGCATGTTGGATCTACATACAAAAAAAGCTAAGATGTTAAACTTTATACTTCTCTACCGCCGTGAATATTCCATGACACAACATTATTTATTTCTAAATATTTTGATTGTGCATTGAAACTCTTTCTTTTAAACTCCCTTCTATCTAACCCTAAAAACTCAACATTTCTCTCTGTGTTAGCCAAACCTAACCAACATATTAGTGGTTAGATACTTTGGACCATGTACTTCTTTCCACTCTATTCAAGGAACCTTACTCTTCTTGTTTCACAAGACACTTGTTTGAACTAAAAAGAGGTGCTTATAAGTCAATTCCTCTTTTTCAGCAATTTCTTGGCTACTTTGTTCAAAAAAATAGTATGAAGTCATATTCTTTGTTAAATTAAAAATGAATATAAAAATTATGATATTATTTTATTGGCTATTCTTTTTACGAGCAAATTTATAATTAAATTTTAACTATTGCTATTAAATAAGTGTGAAAAATCAAAATTAATTTGGATCTCCTAATACTAAATAAAAGTAATTTTCCCCTATTTTAAGTTTGCTTGCAAAGAAGACTTTAAGATGTCCTAGATGTCTGATTTTTTATTTATCCTAGGAAATTGCCCCGCCCTTTTCTTATTATTGATCAAATTTTATGACCTCTCCCTCTCATAATAGAACTTTTATGAGATTTCAAAAATTGAGAGGAAAATTGATGTCCCTTTTAGTATTGGATTATCTCACTACTAATAGAACCCAAGCTAATTATCTCTACTCATCTATTATATAGCTTAATAATAGGAACCTTTATGGTGCTATTGGAAGCTTGAGCAAAAGAGTATGCCCAAGTCCAACCCCCATTAGAATGTCTCATTTTTGTTAGGCTTCTATAAATAGTTATAAATGATCACCACTCCATTGTTGTTATCATTACTATAGGAGATGATAAATAGCAAGGTGATACACATTGAATCTATATTGCTATGAGCATTGCAAACTATCAAATATAAACCCATAAAAATCTCCCATGCTCGATGAATGTCATATTGAGAAGGGAAGGTTGTAAGTGCTATCATTGGGTTTGAGCACATACAATCACCTCAATGTGTAGGTCCTCACTCTCAACATCTATTATAATAAGAGGATCTCATTTTCTCTCTTTCTTCTCTAGATAGGTTGAAGGCTATGTTAACATTGACACCTATTTCTTCTTCATCATCTACCCTTGGAGAGAAGTCATTTTCCTTTTCTTGATTTTCGCTATGGGGTCCAACTAGTGGCCTGGTGCTCAATGATAGGAGACGAACATTTTCTTTGATCCATGCAAGAAAACCTTTTAGAATATATGGTCGACCAAATCTCCAAACTCCACCTCAGTCAAATTCCATGGCTTCACACAAATCAACCGCCCTGCTTGATATGAGGTATTGCTCCCTCTACTGCAATACTGTCTCACATCAAATAAATAATTAAAAACAATTTTATAAAATCAATAAATATTCGTTAAATCAACTCAAAATTTGACACAATTAAACTGATTTAAGCTTGGTTGGAAAGAAAATCAAAATCTTTAATTCAGAGTTTAAATTGACAAGCTCAAACTCAACTCAATGCCACCTCCAACAATAATAACATCAAGCCTTTATCCCACTATGTGAAATCAACTACATGAATTCTTTTTTTTTTTTAATTGTATGTTAAGAGTCAAATTCTCATTTAAATCTAATAAATATAGGCCATTTCTAATATTTTCTAACTAAATCTTTTTAAGTTTATCTCTCTTTCTTGACATAAATCAAATCTAATACATCTATTCTTCTAACCGAGTTATCACAAAGCCGCCGTTTTAAGTGACCGAACCATCTAAGACAACTCTCTCTCTAATCTTATCTTCCACTAGAGCTACTCCAACCATTTTTCATATCTTGTTTCTAAGAGTAAAGCAACACATCCACCTAAGCATCGTCATCTATGCAACTCTTAACTTAATACTATGCTTCTCTTTTAATGGCCAACATTCTGCAGTATAAAACATTACAAGTCTCACCATACTCTTATATAATTTTCCTTTAAATTTGAGGGAGGCTTTTCTATTATACAATAAACCCGATGCATTCCTCTACTTCAACCATCCAACTTAAATTCTACGAATACCATCCCCATCTATTGCACCATCACTCTTAATAATAGACCCAAGATATATAAAACGTTTACTCTTATTAATGACTTGATCGCCCAAAGTCATAATCTCAAAATAAATCTATTACTATTAAAATTACACTCCATATATTCGGCTTTAAATTTGCTCAAATGAAAACTTTTAGACTCTAAGGTTGACCTCTATAATTCAAGTTTATCTTCAACTCTCTTTCTCGGGTCTTATTGATAAGAAGAAATCATCAGCAAAAAGAATATACCAAGGTACAACCTCTTGCAAATGTCTAATCAGAGCATCCATCACTAAAGCAAAAAAGATAAGGGCTTCAGATTAATCCTTGATGTAATCCAACTAAAATAGGAAAATACTTGGTCAATATCACCTCCAGTTACAAGAAATATTGTTTAATCCCTTTTGTTTCCATGTACACAGAGATGAGAAATAAAATAGAAAGAGTAATTAGAAGGCAAAGGCTACTAAGTTCTGAGATAAAGCATGACATGTGTGAGAAAGCATCACAAAATATTGGAATGTTCAATAAAATTACGAGAAAGTATATCCTTCATAGCACTACAAGTAAAAATAGGAATTATTCCAACATATAACTACTAAGGCTTATTTCCAAGAGTAAATTAATCTACAGAGAACACCTTATGGAATGAATCCCAAGTAAAGCTAACACTGCAAGAGAACCGGAATTTATATATATATTTTTTCTAAACAAAGAATAGCTAACTATAGACATGAAGGCAGTTCCTTCAGCTAATTATAAAAGCTGTACTGCTGCTATGGCTGGGACCTTCTCTCTTAGCTTCTGTGTCAAAGCCACTCGAACGGTCATGACTCCGGCAGCTGGGCCAGATAGCCTAATTTTAACGATAGGTTCCTCAATGCTGACAAACTCAAGCTCTCCACCACCAGTTCCAACAAGATATGGCCTTATCTCATCAAGCACCTGAAATTGTTGAAGCACACAAAAATATATAAGACACGGTTCTAATGCCATTATCTGCTTTCTTCTAAGGACTAGAGATTGAACAGGACAAGCTGAAATCACATTCATGAATATGATAGGAAATACCTGAGTTCGCAAGTCATCCTATCGGAAATACTTGAGTTCGCAAGCAATTCTAACAATAAATTGGTAAAAACAGCAAGAAGAACACAAGAATAACGAAGAAAACAACCCAAAAACAGAAGATTTTATTAGATAACTCAAAACAGAGCAACATAAGCAAACATACAATTGATCATCTATTTGAGAGGAGGATCGTTCTCTCCAAATCTCTAGACACCAAATCTAGAGCCCAAGACGCCCAAGAGACTCCAAGAGAAAACAATATTCAAGTATGCCCTATCCCTTCCCTTTCATGCCTACTTATAGCCTTAGCCGCCCACCCCCTTACCAAAAATAGATTAAATAAAATAGATTAATCCCCTTGCTAAAAATAGATTAATTAAAATAGTGGACACCACTATTAATGGGCAACAATCAAATAGGGCGTGGGCCCCTATTACTTGGGCGGCAACATGGGAGGGTGTTTGACACACCTCCTGTAGACTAAAGCCGGCCCATGTGGGGCCGGCTGGGTCGGTTCAGGAACCGACCTAACATAATAGTGATTAGAATGGAAATGGTGGGTGGGTGTATAAACAAAAAGACCAAACAAAGATTCCATGTGCATTAAAATTTTAGCAAGGAAAAAAACAATTAATGTGATTTTAAGTTACGAGATGTTTCCATTACTAATTTCCATTAATTAATAGTGCTGAAATCCTTCAAGGGAAATTAAGGAGATCTTTTGAAAGCTCTTTATTTCTGGAACAAAAATAAGTGTAAGGAGTTGAATTCACTGAAAATTGAGCTGAAGGAAGAAATTTTACAGCTGCAGCTTGAGGAAGCTTCTATTGGTCTTACGTCTGATAAATTGAATCTATTGAGAACAAAAGTTCATGATTTAAATGTGACTTTGGGAAGGCTATCCACATGGTGGAATCAACGTGCTAAGAGTAGATGGCAGCAAGAGGGTGACATAAATTCAAGGTATTTCCATCAGTATGCTTCAGCCAAGAGGAATGGTAACTTGATTTGGCAAATCCGAAATGAAAATAACTTGATTGTTGATGATTTTGATCAAATTGAAGTAGTATTTTTAAATTCTTTAAGAAGAAATGGACAGCTAGGGAATTTAAACTCTCTGGGTGGCCTTCAGTTCCTGAAAACTTGAGAATTTCCTGGGAAGATGCAAAGAGATCTTGGATGCCGAATTCACTAAGGAAGATATGGTGAAAGCTGTTTTCAGTCAAGGTAACAACAAATCCCCTGGTTTTGATGGTATTACTACCTCTTTTTTCAAATTTTATTGGAAAATCGTGGAAGAGGACGCATGAAAGGCTATTGATAATTTTTTCAAAACCGGATGCATGTATAATGATTGGAAGGATACTCTTGTTGTTTTAATTCCTAAAATTAATAAGCCTATTGTCCCTTCAAACTTTAGGCCTATTAGTTTGTGTCAGACTACTTATAAGATAGTGGCTACTATGATTCTTAATAGAATGAAGGGTTTTATTTCCAAGTGTATCACTGAAGAACAAGCTGCATTTATTAATGGTCGTTCTTTGTCTGACCATTGTCTTCTTGCTCATGAGGTTTTTCATAAGCTTAGAATCTCAAAAAGTAAAAAGGGGTTAATGGTGGTTAAGCTTGATATGGAGCAAGCTTATGATAGCATGTGTTGGGATTCTCTTGCCCAAGTTTTAAAAATATTTGGTATGCCTATGAATTTTTCTAGGCTTATCATGGAATGTATAAGAAGTGCTAGATTTTCTTTCATCATAAATGGTAGAGCTTCCAAATGGATTACTGCTGAGAACGGTTTTAGGCAAGGTTGCCCATTATCACCATATCTTTATATCCTTTGCTCTCAATTGTTCTCTTTAGCCATGTCTCAGGATGGGTATGATCTGGGAATTCAAATTGCACAGCGTGCACCTAAGGTGAACCATTTGCTGTTTGCTGACGATGTGCTGATTTTTTCACAAGCAACTACCCAGCTGGCTATAAAACTGAGGAATATTGTGATGGATTTTTGTTCCTGGACAGGTTTGAATGTCAATAAGTCTAAATGTCAGATTTTATTCAGCAAATGTATGAATAGAACTGCTGCCTCCCGAATTAAGAGTGTGCTGGGGTTTAAAGCTGTTAAAGAGATTCATTATTTAGGCATCAAGATGACGATGAGGAAAACTCTGTTTTCTGATTTCCAGTTTCTGTTGGATAAAATGATGCATAAGCTGAATTCTTGGGGAAGTAAAAATCTATCCTTGGCGGGTAAGATCACTCTTGCTAAGACTTCTCTTCTTACTCTTTCTAATTTTGCATCTACTCATACTTTGGTCCCTATGAAAGTATTACAAGAGATAGATAAATGTTGTAGAAATTTTATATGGCATAAGGGGAATGGTAAGAAAGGTATGCATTACATTGGTTGGAATACTCTTTGTAAACCATATGATAAAGGTGGTTTGAATTTCCCTTCGGCGGTAACTAGAGCAAGACCTTTGAAAGCACGTTTGTCTTGGAGACTTCTACAAAATCAGAATTCACTATTGTTTCAAGTTATTTCAGCTAAATATGGAGATAACTTGTGGGAAGCTAAAAGTAGGAATGGTAGTTCAATTGCTTGGAAGATTTTGATTGAGGTGGAGAGTTGCTAATGGTAGGAATATAGATATTCTTAATGATACTTGGTTGCTTGACAAATGTTTGAATGAATGGCCAATCAATGCAAATTGTTTGGAGCTTGAAGGGCTTAAACTCAATCATTTCATCACTGATAATGGTGGCTGGAATCTCCATGTACAGCAAGGATACTTCCAAAGTGATTTTATTTCTACCATTCTTCAAATTCCGATTGATAGCAATGCAGACAAAGATTACCTGGAAGAAATTAGCTTATTGTCTGGCAAATCTATCACTAACCGTGCAACTGAAGCTTACAGACAACGTAACATTATTGAAGGGGATATGGGATTTTATAAATGGCTTAAAAAGCTGAGACTTCCAACTAGGACCGAATTATTCTGGTGGAGATTGAGTAAAGATGCTATTCCTACTAACAGTTTCTTAAAATATAGGAAGCTTAAAGATGAGGACTTATGTGCTAGAGGCTGTCTAGTTACTGAAAACCTGGAGCATATTGTAGTCCACTGCATTCACCTTCAGGACGTTATTTGGAAGATGCAAGGCTGGGGGTTCTACATACCTGTTTTTGATTCTCTTAATGATTGTTTACGGGAATTGAAGACTCTTGCTAGCTTTTCTCCCAATATTGCCAACATGTACTGTACAGCAGTTTACTTTAATTGGAGGAATAGGAATGATGTTAATCATGGGAAATCTGCAAGTTCTATTGCAGTTACTGCTGCTAATGTGATGTCTTCGGCGCTTAAATCTTTTAATCCAATCATTGATAGCTAGGGTGCTAATCTCCCTAGGGAGTTTCAGAATTTTTGGCACCCTCCACCGCTTGGTTGGATTAAGATAAACGTCGATGCTACTCTCCTCACTACTTATGATGCTAGAATTGGTGGATGCTTTCGGGACCATAAAGGGAGATTGTTGGTTGCATTTGGAGAAAGGAAATTGCATTGGGATAGTGCTCACCTTGAATTAGAGGCTGTGATGGCTATTAGAAGATTCATTCAACCGTGGATGTTAGAGAGTAAAGGAGTTATAATTGAAGGTGATAACATCAATGTTATCAAATTCATTCAACATTCTTTGAGTAAAGCTAAATGGCAATACTACAATCGGGTGGAGGAAGATTTTATTTTCTTGGCCGACTTCAATAAGGTAATTCTACATCATATTCATAGGAATTGTAATAAGGTAGCCGATATGTGTGCTACTTTAGCACTTGATAGCAACTTTTATTTTGATAGCTCTTCTTTTGCTAACATCCCTTCTTCTCTTAGTTTTTCACTGAAGAAGGAATGTGAGCCGCTACTGTAGCTTGTATTTTGTTCCTTTTATGATAATTGCTATTTGCATTTTTCAAAAAAAAAAAAATGGCATTGCTAGAAGAGAAGAAACAAGTGCAGTTAACCATGGAAAACTACTCCCAACTATGACTACCTGAGGCATTATTTTCATAAAGGATGCTAAAGCAATTTACATATAGAACAAAAGAAATGAAATCCTTCAACCCATACGAATCCATGAATAATTTCTGAAAATTTGTAATTGTTAAGGGGAAATAGCACATCTCCTACAATAAAGTGCAAACTTGGGGAACTTTACCTTCTCAATGTTTTCTTCATTCAACTCAAGGCCTATCACCTCATCCACAATGGGCTCTACCGCAACAATTTCGGGAATTTTTTCCATCAGTCGGCGCTCAATGCCCATTTTCATCGTCATTACAGAACTTGGACAAGACCCACATGCTCCTTGCAGTTTCAATTTCACAACATTCCCATCGATCTCATGTAATACAACATTCCCTCCATCGGCCATAAGATATGGTCGCACTTCATCCAATACAGATTCCACATTTTCTGCAGTGAGAGGCAATTCAACAATTGGGTTCGGGGTAGCAATGGCTTGAATTGCTGCACGCATATGTAAGAAAAAGAAGAAAATATCTTAGCAATGTAAGGACAGAAAATGGACTAAAAGGGCTATTGACAAAGCCATCAGAAAGCACACATTTGAATATATCAAGCAGAATCACAGTGAATATAAATTCAGCATCAACTCAATCTAGTACATAAAATGCCATCCTTAGCTACAGCCCTTCTATCTAACACCATGGCAATTACTGTTAATGGATATGTGATATCTCCGATTATAAGCCCTACATCAGCTGGTCTCAATCTATTTGAGTTTAAATTATTGTAGCTGATAAATTATTGAATTGGTGATTTACTTTGGCGGACCAATGAGATGGCAAATCTTCTATGGTATAGATAATGATGTACCTTTTTGGATATTAATGAGCTACTAAACTTCAGCTCAAGCAACTTAGAGATCAGGCTCAACACCGAATGCTCCAAAACAGCCAACCCGAGAACCACCAGCAGCCAGGGACCAATCGAGCCAGCAAACCAAAGGTCTACCAAGCCATATGCACTACCTACCATGATCATTGGATGCTTTCCCATCATTGGATAGCTAAAAAAAAGAAAATAAAATAAAATAGAAAACAAAATATACTATTGTTCAAATAAAAAGTACATAAATCCTTGATAGCATCACGAAATCAACCTGGTTTGACCCATTTTTAATTAATTTGGGAGGGTTTTAAAAGATTGTTATGAAATAAGTAAATGATATTTCTAAAAAATAATAAGTATTGTTACCCAAATTAAATTAAGTTTGATTTATTTTAAATTGATTGAAGTAAATCTTACCTTAATTTGATTTAGGATTAAATAAATCGAATTAAATAAAAAATTTTAAATAAAACATACCTGAAGCAGGTCGGGTTCGGAAAACCGACCCGTTTGCAAAAACGGGTCGGGTCAGTTTCGGATTGGACCCGAACCCGACCCGTGACCCGATTTTGTCATCCCAAACAGTAGCAAACATAGAACTAAAAGTCAGCACACAGAGGACCTGTTAAACAAACCCAACATCCCAAATGCCATGGGAAATAAGGCAATAAAGAAAGGCATTTTTGCACTTTCGCTTCGCCTTTTAATCAGCTTGGCTGAAAAACTAGTTACACCAAGATTTGTGGCCATACCAAATGCAACCTTGACATTTTTAAAGCTAGATACATCCAGATTTGTGGTCATTGCAAAGCAGAAGGAACAAATGTAAACCATTGAAGAGGCATCAGATCAAGAGGAGCTGACAAGAGTGCTAGATAAGAAAAATTAGATGCCATAGATTAATTGCTTATCAAGAAATACCTCTCCTCTAGATTGGTATATAAGAAAGGAGAAAAAGAACCTAAAGATTGCTCTCTTGGCATAAATCATCAACCCTTAAATGGACCAAATAGCAGGTGGACAGCTGCTAGGATTCTTTATTTTTGTTTTTGTTATTATAATTATTTAGTTTCCTTTTTTTTCCCTATGTAGCATTGTGCAAAAATACTCGTTTACAGAAGGAGCAATCTAAGCTTCCCTAACAACTACTTTCCTACAAGATAGCAAAGCAAAATTAAGGTTCTCTTTTACAAGCCTTTATTCTTCCTCTCTTATTTTGTCTTCTCTTCATTATGTTCAATATATTTGACTGCCCTTCCAAGTAGTCAACTAGCATGAAAGGTGAAAACCAAACTAAATGAGAGCTTTGATGGCCAAGTGCCTGATATTGCTTGAATAGAAAAAACAACCTAAAGGAGTCCCGATTTATGAAGACCTTTCACAAACAAAAAGAAAAAAATCTATCATATAGAATATGCCGAACAGTTGAAAGTCCTAAAGTTTGGGATGAAGAAGATTCTATGATTATGAAACAGTTATAAAATACTAGGATGCTTGAAATCAATGGGCCATACTGATGAAGACATCAGAAGATCCATGATCTACGGCCACGATCTACTTTTGATTATTATTGTATTTGATATATTTTATTTTATGTTTTATGAGTCTTTTGTATTTCTTTCCATTTATGCCCTTGCTTAAGGGCCTCGTCATGTGTTTGTCGAAAGGGCAATTGTGTCTTTTTATTTTTCTTCATGTATTTGGCTATTTAAGCCTTCTCCCTCCTCTTGGAGAGGGGATGATGATTATTGAAATGAAATTCAGCTTTGTTCAAGATCTCTTTGTGAGTTCTAATTTTGCCTTGATCTCTTTGTGAGTTCAGGAGGGTGAAGCCTAGAAGAGGCTCAATCGAAGTACCCAACAGCCCCTGCGGCCCTGAGCTCTTGGTTTTTCTCTATTTCTTCTTCTTCTTCCCTAATCTCCCCACCCGAGTTCCCTCCTTCCTCCAAACCCGACGGCCACCCTTAGCTCCCTTCCTTGAATTAGCCCCACCTCCCAACCTCATCACCACCTCCGACCCATAGCTTCCTCCCCTCCACCTGAGCCAAATCCCCTTCCCTTACCCTCATGCCGCCGGCCACCTCTACAATCCCCACCATTGTGATGATCTTCTAAATGCTTTCCTAAGTTAAGCCAAGCCAAGAGGGAAAGAATTCAAATTATTTGAAATTCAAATACTTTCCCATTTGAAATACTAAATTAGGAAAGTGAGTTAATCTAGATCTAATTTGATTTTCAAATTCAATTAAGCCTTCACTACCTTCCTAATTTGTCATTTGTCATTTAGGAAGTTTCATATTTGAGATTCAATTTGAAATTTGAATTTTGAATCCCTCCTTTAAATGACAAAACCCAATTAGGAAACTACTCAATGCAAATCAAATCTGAATTTAAATTTAGAATTTGATTTAATTAAGTTTGTAATCAATTGGGCCCCACATACATTGAACCTAGACATATTCCCTCAACCCATATGGCCGGCCCCCTCTTCTCTCACCCTTTTCTCTCCACTTTGCCACCTAAGCAACAATTAAACCCCTCATAAATCCCTTAATGACCGCCAGCCCCAATTATTCCCTTAATTGTGTTAATTTGAAATTCAAATTAACAATTCCCCTTGATGAAAATCTGAAATTAAAATACAGATTTTTCCTCTCATCTCCGTTCCCCCATCACCCCTCCAAAACCTGACCGCCACCCCAAGCCTTCTCCTCCACGCCTCCCTCTCATCCTCCAGGGAACCTTTGCTGGCTGGTCCCATTTCCAGCAAGCACATTGCTGTTTTGTACTTTTGGGAGAAGCAGATTCCTATCCAGAAAGTTCCAGTACCTTGTGGCTGCTGCTCATGACCTTTCCAAGTCCTCCAAGTGGCTGTCCCGAGTTTTCTACAAGACAAAATTGCTGTCCCTGCTGTCAAAACTGCTGTCCAGAGAGTTCGGGATCACTTCCTGCTGTCCCGGAATTCCATGCAGCCACCAACTGCTGTCCACGCTTGTGGGTAAGGTTAATCTCGGCGAAGTGCGAGGAGGTTCGTGGTTGCTACCCACTTCATTCCCAACTACCAAACAACTTTGCCGGAGCGCGTATCTCTCTTGTCTTTGGGTAAATTCGACACCCGACTCTCTATCTTCATAGTGCATCCTTGAATGTGAATTTATTATCTTCATGAAGATCATATTAACGCTTCTCCGCTAAAACCTAGTAATTGGATGAGTTGTGTGAGGGATCTTCTCATAGCGACTAATCTTATTGTTAGTATTTGAATCTATTGTTGGAACTATCCATGTATGCAATGTTGGATTAAGCTGGTTATCTTTTGAACTTAACTTCTATGCATGTGAATTAACCTAAGCTAAGTACCACTTAATATTTATCTTATCGTTCAATTCCGCATAAGATCTTACTTATTATTGCCTCTAAATCTAAGCGTGCAAACTTCTTTAAACAAATCACTTTCGCATGGGATATGTTTCACATCACATACACATTCCTAACAACAACAAAAGGCATTTGGGATGTTGTCAAACAAATGCACTCAAAAGTTATCAGTGTTGCTCTCATCTATGAGATAACAAATAAGCAATAAAGCCACTCTGTCATTGAACATTTTAATGCAATGAATGTTTATTGGCTTGAACTAAACTATTATCAATAAATAAAATTAAAGTGTAGTGATGATGTGATGTTTCTCAAACAATTTGTAGAAAGAGAAGTGATTTTTGAGTTCCTTGCTGGGGGAAACAGCGACAAAAGCCTTCGAGCATCTAAAGAAAGCCATGACTAGCGTACAAGTATTAGCACTTCCGGTTAGCATACCATTTGTCGTGGAGACAGATGCATCAGGATATGAATTGGGGCCATGCTCATGCAAGATCATCAATTCATTGCTTATTTCAATCATGTGCTCACTGCTAGGGCGAAACTCAAGTCTGTATACGAGAGAAAATTGATGGTGATTGTCTTGGCCATCCAAAAGTGGCAATCTTATTTGTTGGGGCAACATTTTGTGGTCAGGACATACCGGAGAAGTTTGAAGTTTCTATTGGAGCAGAGGATGGCAACTGAGGAAGATAGAAGCCGACTTCTTGCAGCACCCGGCCAGTCATCCCGATTACACACTAAGGGGCAACCAGCTACTACATCAGCGGCGATTCGTTTTACCAAGAGGATCGAGGCTATTATAGGATTTTTATGGCAGCGCAGCTGGAGGATATTCAGGAGCTCATAAAACCTATAGCTGACTATCAACAGAATTATACTAGGTGGAGATGCGCCGCGATTTAGAGGGTTGGGTAACGAGACGTGATGTATGTCAGAGGCACAAGTACTTAATCATGACACCGTGAGGGTTATTACAGCCGCTAGCTCTGATAGAGAGGATGTGAGAGGAGGTGACGATGGATTTCATCGAGGGGTTTCCCCATTCGAAGGGATTTTCAGTGATATTGATAGTAGTGGATCATATGAACAAGTATGAACACTTCATCCCTCTAAAGCACCCTTACACCGCAGTCTCTATGGCTACTATTTTTATAGGAGAGATGATGCGCTTGTATGGATTTCCAGAATTCATTGTATCAGATAGGGACAAGGTGTTCCTTAGCCACTTCTAGAAG